GTCCTGACTACAGAGCCACTCGCTGGGCTTTGAAACTCTGATAGTAGATTAGACTGCTCAGTGACTGTTTGTAGGGTCAAAAGAGGGGGACCTACAAGAGAGCCCTAGGAAAATACCAAGGAAGCCTTGGGAGGGTGTGGGGAGGTAGGAGGAAACCCGGGGGAGTGTGCTGAGTTGGAAGCCAAGAAGGTTGGTTAAGGGAGGAACAGTCAACGATGTCAAAGGCTCCCAAAAGGAACACCGGAAAGCACCCATGGGATTTAGCAACTGGGAGGTCGTTGGTAATCAGTCTAGGAGTTTGGGTGAGTGGTGGGGGCAGACACTGGATCAGAGAGAGCTGAAGAGTGAGAGAGGTGGTCATGGGGGCATGAATGCAGGTGACGGTTCTAAAATCTTGCCTCTGAAAGAGGGGAAGAGAGAGGAAAAGGGGCTGAAGGTGCTTGCTCTTGCTTTGGGGGCGTATTTTAAGGTTGGCGAGGCTTAGACATGTTGAAATGGTGACGGAGAGGATCCAGGAGAGAGAGGGGGTCATTGGGAGTGTTCGTTGAGGAGTGAGCACAGGCTGCAGGTCTGGCTCCACCACTGTCTGATTGAACTTGCACGTGAGCGCGTCATTTAGTCTGTCTGAGCTACAGCATCCTTATCTGTAACTAGTAGGGTTTCTCTGTATCTATGGCTTTCAAACTGCACCCCTCAAAGCTATCTCAGGGTATTCACTTTGCAGCTTCAGTCACAGCAACTTGACCTCTCGTGTTTTTAAATAATTTTTATTTTTAGCATTTTAATACTTGCACATACATTGGAAAAGCAAATGAATAATAAAACAATTATCATTAAAAAATGGTAACTCCTGTTCCACACCCACTCACTCTCAGTCACTCCCAATTCTCCCGATTTTGTTTTCTTTCCCTTGGGAGCCTTAAGTCTTATCTTTATCCCTTTTTGCCACAAGTATATGTCTTGTCATGGTTTTTCATTTTGCTTGGAACTTGAAGACTCATGTCCTATAGTTCTAAAAAACTTTCTTGAATTATTTATTTTGTAATTTCCTCATTTCATTTTTTCATTTTCTCTTTCTGGTGTTGCTTTTTAAGTTCAGTATTGGACCTTCTGGCTTGACCTTCTCATATTAGCTTTTCTTTCTATCTGTCTCGTTCTTACTTTCACTCTTTC